ACGACTACTACGACTACTACGATTACGACTACGACTACGACTACGACTACTGCCGCTGCTGCTGCTACTACACTGCGACGACGACGGGTCTGTAACAATAGTCGTCGTCTTGGTGCTGGTAGCAGCTGTCGTCGTAGGAGAAATACTAGCAGTACTCGTACCCAACAAGCGGCTCACTTCCGAGCCCTTCTGCGAGCCTAGGAATTCGAAATCTTCTCGCGACTACACATTAACCAATGCGGCCTGGACAAGGCTCTAGCGGCTGGACAAAGGTTTACCAAACCAGGTTTATCCAAAAACCGGGTTTACCGGCAATGCCCGCATCGTGAAGGTCCCTTCAGAAGAGTTCCGGAGGAGGGCCTTTCGGCTTCCCCGGCGGCCTTGGGGGTCACGGAAGTGTCAGTTAGTCCAATGTCGGCTGCCCGTAAGCTTCGATCGGCTACGAGCGAGAAGCCCATTATGGCAACGCCTACCCCAGAAAAACGTCCTCGCCCTCCGACGCAGCATCCACCGCTTCCGCCGTCGGCTGCGTGAATGCAGTGCCTTCCTCCTCAGATCAGACTCCAGGTAGCTCCTCACAATCTTACGTTGCACAATCTTGGCCTCTGGCAGTGGCCGATTGGGCATCCCCCGTGTCTTCGATAGCTGTTGCTGTTGGCGCGGCCGCAGTTGCTGCCGGGGCCGTTGCACCAGCTTCTTCAGTGGTGCCGTTTGTCGCACATGGCATGGCACCTCGAATCGCTGCTGCTTGAACGGCCTAAACCCTTCTCTCCTCGGCTCTCATCCTGCCTCCCCAGGTGCAGCCCATCATACCACATCCTCCCACATCAGTGGGTTCAGGGGCAGGCTACCAGGTATCTAGTCAAGAGTCATGCCCTCTACAGTTCCATGCTCATGCAAATACTCATGCGCAAGGCCTGCCATCGGAGACATCTGGCCAGGCATCATGGCACCTGCGCGACCAGCGCAGCCGACCCGTTCCACTTCGGAGCGAGCAGCGGACACGCATTATGAGCTCCGCACCGAAGCAGCCCGGCATCGCCATCTGAGTGATCGTGCATGATAACTCCATGCTCGTCCACGCAGGAAGTCTGAAATCTAGCACAGCAGAACGGGCCCCAAGCAGGCATCATTCCGCAGCCCATGCTGCTCATGGTGAAAGCATCCATGGCCATGGGGTACACCGTGTTGCAGGCCGAAGTTGCTGCAATCCCTAGCAAGCACAGCAGTCGGAATAATATTGCCGACACAAGCTGCACCCGTGTAGCTCCCAAACGCCTTGCTGGAGATGCGTTGTTGCCGCCTGGAAGACGGAGTCTGAGGCATCGCCACCTTTCTAAACAAATGGCAAGTCTGCACGAAACAACCCGTGGCTTTTTGGTTGCCTTAACTGCCTCAGTGTCCGGCGGTAAGTCAAATGGTCCTGTATGATCTTGATGGCATCCACCTACTTCAAAAGCGAGATTGGAGATGTCCTAGCCCGCAAACCGGGTCTTTTAAGCCTGGGGCACGAGAGTATGAGGGATGGCTCAGACCCAAACATTTCCGTCCCTCCTACGTCTATCATTTCGTCTTGGGTTTTGCCGGTTGCTTGATTTGCAAATTGCCGGCATCTGGTTGTACGATGCCGAAAAAACCGGATTCGGGCGGCGAGGAGACCAAAATACAACTTAGCAAAGAAAACCGAGTCAGAACGTCATCAAACTGTCACAACAAAGCTCTTTTGCTCATCTAAAACATCCTAATTGTAATGACAAACTCCGATATCTGTTCAGAAGTAGCAATAGCAGTGGCGATGGCAGTCGCAGCTGCCGGGTAGCAGTGGCCGCTGCCAGCAACAGTACTTTGGTTACTAGTACCAACAGCAACTGAAGCAGCAGTGTCTGAACTGAAAGTCGTCGAAGCAGTCGTCGTCGTCGTCATCTGAATAATGGCAGAAGTAGTGATAGTAGTACGAGTACTAATACTACTACTAGTACTACTACTAGTACTACTACTACTACTACTACTACTACTACTACTAATCTACTTCTCTACTACCACCACGACTCTTCTTCTACTACTGCTATGGCTACTACCAGTGCGGGTACTATTCTCGTGGCAGTAGTCGTAGAAGAACTAGTAGTAGTAGTAGAAGAAGAAGTAGTAGTAGTAGTAGTAGTAGGAGGAGCAGCAGCAGCAGCAGCAGCAGCAGCAGCAGCAGCAACAGTCGCGGTAGTAGTAGGTCGTAGTCGTAGTCGTAGTCGTAGTCGTAGTCGTCGTAGTAGTAGTAGTAGTAGTAGTAGTAGTCGTAGTAGTAGCAGCAATAGCAGCAATAGCAGCAGCAGCAGCAGCAGGTGGGCAGCAGC